ACGGTGTATATTTGACACATAAAATTCTGTGTTTTTTTAACAGGTTCTCCCGGCATAATAAAATGACCTCCATATTAGTTCTAAGGAAATATCAAGGTAGACCACATTTCTTTTATATTAACCTCCTTTTATGAAATTAAAATCCAGAACTACCTTTAGTGGAAAAATTTGTCTCTGGGAGTAAAATATTTAGAAAAGAAATGATATCACAGGTACCATAACAGTAGACCTGTATGCTTACTTTTCCAATATGGATGTTTTTGTTTTGTTTTCTGTGGCTATTACATGTGGTATTAAATCAAAGAAGTCAGGGCCATGGATCAACACTGGTCCACGGCCCGCCAGGAACTGGGCCACGCAAGCAAACCTCTTCTCTGCACACAAGGGATCCAGGCAGTGCGTAAACCCCTCCCCAGCCCACAGAAAACCATAAATTGATCCCTGGTGCCCAAAAGGTTGTGGGCTGCTGAACTAAGGAATCAAATAAGCTAAATTGATCTGCTGGTTTTTAGTCTTTTTCATTTCTTGCCATTTCACTGCTTATAATCAATGTTTTTCAACATGCTGTCTGGGGGGATTCTGGGAGTTGAAGTTCACACAACTTAAAATTGCCAAGTTTGAAAAACAATAGCCTGTTTTCCACAGTAACAGTGCTATGACTTCTGTACTTCTAGTATTAGTAGCAAATGCGATTCTTATAATTTGTTCTTAATGTTAAAAATTATCACAAGCTTGTATCAGTAACCTATGTAACAATGAGATTGTTTCATATGTAAATTCTAATTCTGGTAATTTTATGTAGCTTGCTAATGGTGCCAGTGAACTTTTCATGTCACAATAAAGCCTAGCTTTTTTAATCTATTATTTTTAGTTTGATTATACTTTATTTTACTGTTCATATTCCATTGTCATATTTTAGTCTGTCTATTTACTCCTCAAGATTATATTGGCCCAGATGCTACAGACTTTCAAAAAATCTATGCACTGAAATAGTATGTGGGAATGGCCTTGGTAGAGGACAAGTAGGTAGGTAGGTAGGTAGAATGCCTACAAAATATTCAGATAAGAGAAGGCATAGCCAGCGGCTGCATAATGGGTGGAAAAAGGAAGCTCCAAAGGGATCCCCTTTTCCGCCAAGTTCTCAGGTTACAATGGAGATCCTGGGAGAGTTGCACTTTCAAACTTGCAAGATACTGTTAATGTAGCCTCACAAAAAAGTAGAATTAGATCATTTGGCCAACCTGGAACATAGTATAGAACAGAATTCTTTATTAGACAAGTGTGATTGGACACACAAGGAATTTGTCTCCAGTGCATAAGCTCTCAGTGTACATACAAGCAACAAGTGATAAATCATGATCATCATAATAAAATACTATTATCATATATCATAAGATGCAACACTCAAGTGATAGTCATAAGATACTAAATAAGAGCAATCAACATAAATCATAAGATAAAACAACAAAGTTATAATCATAAAATGCTGAAGGAATAGGTAACAAGAAAGATGAGAAGGATAATAGTAATACAATCCTACAAGATGGTTTGATGTCCTAGGGCAGGGATAGGCAACTTTGGCTCTTTTATGACACGTAGACTTCAATTCCCATTATTCCCGAGCCAGCACAAGTCATAAAAGAGCCAAGGTTGCTTACCGTCCTAGGGCATAAAAAAGTGTTGTGGGAATTAGTTGTTTAGCAGAGTGATGGCGGGGGGGGGAGACTTTGGATGTACTCCCAGACATCAGGGTCAGACTGCTGCCTGTGGATGGCTCTAGATTGAGCTGATATAGGCAAAAGACTTCTCTCTCCCATATTTGGGCCGACAGGGTGCATCAAAGTAAAAAAGCATTCATCCTCTTCCCCTGTCTCTTGTAGCTAACAAAGTGAGAAAGAGCCTGTGGCCTAGGGGCTAACACATCTGCCTAACATGCAGACAGCCCAGGTTCGAATCTCAGAAGTCTGGCTGATGAAAACTAAATAAAGTTTGAAATAGCTATCCCAGTACTCCCTTAATTCTTTGTTAGCAATCCAAATTTATATATATATATGTAGGTCTTTAGTTATTCGGGTTTTCTCCCGCGTAGAATTAGAAGTTTCTTGGCGACGTTTCGACGAAGTCACATTCGTCATCTTCAGGCTGGTGTCTTCAGCTTCGTGCTGAAGGTCATTATAGGATCTATATATTAGCTGTTTTCAGTTCTTTTTAATATCAATAATGACAATTCTTATTGTTACATCTTGGTGTTACCAAGATTTACTATTCTAAGTAATCCCTATAATTATTAATATTATTCCATGCCTTACTTATTTTTTGAATGGTTATAATTGTATCTATTTTATAGTGGCTTATAACTCAAAATAAAGAGATAAATTGTATCAGGAGTTCCATTTGAAGATATCATTACTTGTTATTACTAACACTGTCATCAGATTTATTGAGAAGCAGTAATCTTACATAAATTTATGTAGGATACAAAATAAACAATAAGAAATTCAAGCAATAAATATGCAAGTACATGTTGTATCTTTTTAATATCTCCGAAATATAATATATATGCACTTTATAAATTTTAAATACACTGTATTAGAAACATAGTCATGTTTAAAACAGACCCCTAGGAATTGAGAATAGGAACTCATTACTCATTTAAACCTAAATGAATTCATCATCATTGGTGTGATTTAAGTTTAGAGCAAAACCATTAAACTAAGCAAAATGAAACAAACACTCTCTATGCAGAATTTTTTTTTTTTTTTAAAAAACTATCTCTCTCTCTCTTGTACTATTTTTTTATTTTTTGCTTGTAAAAATTCCTCAGGCTTCTTTCAAGAGTTTTGAAAAAGTTATGAAGGAATTTGGAAGGTGTAAACAGACCCCCCCCTTCCGTAGTGCTCTCCAGATGCCTCTGGCTTCATTTCCACAATCACAAGACAACATTGTCTTTGTACAGGCTGTGATCAGAATTGTAATAAAACAGCTAGGCCTGTGCAAAACTTAACCAATATCTTCATCATCCTCATAAAATGGAAAGTTAATATCATTATGTACTTTTTAAAAACAATGGTCAAAATTTGTCTATATTGAATACAAATACGATCCCTATGATCTATATAGTCTCCATGATTAGTTGAACTACAAGGATGTTAATAGAAATATTAACATATTCCTTACTTAGGAATATAAGTATTCTTTATCAATGAAGGAGAATATTTGTAGCTCAAGGTTGAAATGAGGGGTCTTTGGTGCTCTCTGAACTTGCTTGTTATCTTGCAGACATTTCATTACCCTAACTAGATAACATTCTTTATGCTAGTAAAATAATATTTTAATAAATAGATTTCCCTTTTTTACTAACTCAGGAATGATCAGTCTAGGATGATACTCTATGAATATATTTCTTTTAATATATGCTTATAAAATCTGAAACAAAGCAATTATTTCACAATTATCTTTGCACATTTACAGATTATGCAAGTATCATGACTGAGGCAGCTACAATTCCTGACTTTTAGTTCAAAACAAACCCAATAGTTTAAAAATAGTTTTGCAACAGATAACTAAATCAAGTTTTACATTTCTCCTAATTATAATCTGGTTAGTCTTGATATTACCTCAATATTCAAAAATATCAAACAGGGGGATTGTTATACTATTTCTGTCTAATTAACACCTCACACATCCCCCAACAAAAGAGTAAAAAGTTTATAAATTTTCAACCTACAAAGTGAGTCCTGCATGGGAGATTTGCCATTCATCACTGCAGTGACTCAGAATGCATTAGATATTAACACTGCAATTAAGAAGCCTACATCATCATGCTTTTTTTTATTTGCAATAAGAAAACCCACCTATTTTAGAAACCTGTATATTAATTCTGTGCCAAAATCAATTTCATAATTTTGCTAGAAGTTCCTTGTCTTTGTAAAAGAAATTAAAAAAAAAATCCTAAAGACTGAGTACCATTGTTTTGTGTCAATGACTTCCATAATTTTCATGATGTGCAGATTCCTCGGCTGCAATTTGAAAAGGGTCCATAGGAATTTCTTCATGATTCAATACACTGAATTTCTTTTGATCGAATGGAATAGCACACAGCTGGAGAGGCTATAAGCAGCAAGCAAATGACTGTTCAATGAAAGGCAACCTTTACACATACCCTTTGGCCACCTATAACTACAGAAGTGCAAACGCACAACACCCCAGGAGTTTCACCCAAATTCTCTTCCTTTGAAAGGAATTTCACAATCAAATCCTCTTCCATCAAACAGAATGATCACAGAATACAGATTTTTTTCCCTCCTGGGGCAGTTACGATTTCATTTCTCTTTATTAGAAATTCACTGAATTCCATGGGATACATTTCCAAAAAATATCAATAAACTTGGGTTTACCACACTTATTTAATCATCTATCGATTGCACGATTTTAATTATTGTCACCTTTAAGTTAGTCAAATTTGCTAATGCCTAATTATCAGCTTAGCTTAGATCACCACAAAGATAAGAAAACCGTAAGTACAATTCATGCAATGCTTAGAAACCCAATGATCCTGATTAATTCTGTGTAACAAAGCATAATTGCTCTTTACTGCTTTCAAAAATCTCGCAATTTTGGAAATCACGGAAGTATGATTGATTTTTTTTTTAAAAAAAACATCTTCCAAAATACGATGGCAAGAAACGATCTACCTTCCCGTCATCTCTTCATATTGCAAATTTAGAGTATCGCAACTCAGCAGATATCGTTTCAATAGTTGGAAAAATCGCCTTGCTAGAATACCATCCGTATCTCTACGCTACATTTAAGTGAGAGAGGAAGGGGAAAGGGGGGGGGGAATGAAAACGAAGAAAAAGAAAGAAAGCCACGGCAACTCCATCAGACGCCACTAGAGTTCTCCTTTTTCCGAGGATCCGAGGCTGTATCCTAAACCCTGTTTATCCCAGAAAGCTAGAAGTGTGCAGACGGCCAGGAGCGAGGAGAGACAGAGAGGGGAAAAAAATTTCAGACACAATAAAACTCCGATGGGGAAAGAAAATATGTAGCAGGCGGAAGAAGCAGCCGCGGCCTGGAGCAGGAATTGCAAACTTTAACCTGGGCGAACTTCTTTTCCTCCGCCTGCAGAATCTGCAACTGGTAGAGACGCCGCCGGACAAGGTGAGGGACCCCGGCTTCAGTCGGGGTGGAAGAGAAGGAAGAAGAGGGGGAAAAGGGGGGGGGCGAAGGGACCGAGGGGAATCATCGAAAAAGCCCTCTTTTGCAATCCCTGCGGTGCAAATCTTGAGTGTCTTTTATTCCCTGGCTTGGAGGGAGTAAGGAGAGAAGGAGGGACGGGGGCAAGGAGGGAGAGGCGGCGGCTCGGGGTGTTGGTGAGAATTCTTGTTTTTTCTTTTTAAAATAGGATGGAGGATTATAAACATGGCGCCTTAAAAAAAAACTACAAAACCCGGGTCTGCTAGAGTCAGCCGCGGGAGGGAGAAGAAGGTTGAATGCGACGGGGAGGAGAAATAAATACCGATGGGGGCAAAGATAGAGATGCAGCGGCTCCGGAGATGTGTGTGTGGGGGGAGGAGGTTGCACAAAATCAGAATACAACGGGGGGGGGGGAGAGAGAAGGCAGGGTACTAATCGCCTGGGGAGCAAGCCTACTCGCTCTGGCAGAATGCATGGGAGGGGGTCTCTTTCTCACTCCCACCTTTCCTCCTTTCTTCTATCCCCCCGACCCGTTTTCTGGAACCTCGTGTGAATCCGGGGGTGCCCCTTGCATCCCGGAGCGGGAAAGGCTCATCTATTCAGCCTAGCTCCCGCACAAGACGGGGGACTGCGGCGAGGAAGGGGCTTCCCGGACCGACCCCCCCCAACCCCTCCCGCCGCGGCGGCGGCCACCTGCGGGGAAGGGGAGGGAGGTCGCGGAGGAGAAGGGGGGTGTGCTTGAGCCCATCGCGAGGCAGGAGCAAAGGACGGGTTGGGGAGAAACTCCATCCCCGGGAAGGCCTGCTCGGACGGGGAACCCGGGAGTCGCGTGACCGGAGAGGCCCTGGGCGGGTCGCAGCTCTTCGCAGCCGCAGTCTTCCGGATGGGCCTCCCGCTCGGAGACGCCCGCGCTCGCTTGCTCGCCTCGCTGGGGCGGCTTTGGAGCAGGTCTGGGCCGGATAATGGCAGGCAGGCAGGGGTGTGGGCGAAGAGGAGGAAAGGCAGGCCTGAAGGGAAGGGGGCTTCGTGGTCTGGGCCGTAAAAGCCTCTCCGCTGGGCTCGGGCTTGATTTAATCCTGGCTTAAAGTAGGAAGGGGAAGTTTTTGCATCCCTAAATAAAAGGAAAGAAGGTTGTAGGTAGCCTTTGGAAGTGGAAAATGGTGGTGGTGGTGCTGAGGATGTTTATAATAATCGATGGTAGCATCAGACTGTCTTGCTTTTGCAAGGATAGAGGGATTGAACTCAGCCTGCCTGGACTGAAGTAATATGCCTCTTAGGATGTTTGAAGGACACGGGTACCAACCTCCCCCCCCCCAAAAAAAAGAACCCGAGACGGGGGCAAGGGGAGGCACCTTCCAAAGATCTTTCTGATCTTTATAAATTGCTCATGGAGAGTTGCTTTAGTCTTTCCTGGAAAAGATTTTACTCGCTTTTTTTTATCAAGTTAGTAGATGGGGAGGGGGGTTACTGCTAGTTGAGTCTATAATGGGCTGACATAGTATATCTTCCAGTTTAATGGATAGCAGATTTATGTTAATCTGACTGAGTTGCTAATAGTCATTATTTTGTATTAATTAACACACTTTTGTTTTCCTTTTAAGGCTGCAGGGTTATCTAGAGAATAAAGTCCAAATGCATAAACCAGAATGAACTTGGTGGGTTTTGTTTGCTTATCTGTTCAATTTATAGCCCACCATTCCTTGAGCTTGCTAACAATCATCCTTGCACAAGATTTCAGGAGGCCTGGAAAAGATGGAACAGGTTGTTCTCTTGTGGCTGGTTGTGGGGATTGAGATTCCTCTGTCAGATACAATGATTGGGTTGACGTGGTTTTGTGTTGTGCTCTTGCTGTTAAGAATTATTATGAGTGTCTAAAGATATAATAATGTTTCAGTAACAGATTTATTTCCTGTCCACAAAGCCCAACCTTAGTGGGTTTTTTTTTTCCATCTAACCAAAGCTGGACTTGCTTAAGTTCAACAGAGTTGATGCAGAATTCTTCAGGGGTTGTAGCTTGTTGTGCTCTGGATTGGATACATGCCATTTATTTTTATCTAAGGGTGTTGTTTCCTTGTCCCCCACTTAATTAGGTGTCCTTTGAGAAGGCATTTTCTTACATAACATCTCTATTTTAAACTACACTGAGCAGACAAGTAAAAACAATATTGATATACATGTTCAATTTTTCCACATGAAATGCATATTTAATCCAGGAGCGGATCCACCAATGATGTGTAAATTGCAAACCTTTACTCTCCAAAAGAAAGCAGCAAAATCCACATAATTAAATATAATATCAAATGATGAAAAATTAGATTTTTTATTATGTTGATTTTTTAAAAGACAACAATGTCTCAAATATGACTTCCGTTAGTATCTGTGGTCTTATGACTATACTGTTCTATGTGACAGCTCATGTTTTAAATATCATTCCATACTGTAACCAAGTCAGGTAATGCTTGAAATCTCTCCATTTTGGGGTAGATTTATGACAGCATCTCTCCTCTCCAGGGCTAAATTGGAAGCCCACTCTTAAAAGTAGTATTTCAAGAGGTCTTAACAAGAATTTATGATTGGTCCTATCAGAGCCATGGTTGAAATCTGGAATAGGGTCAGCTGGACATTTAATAAAAAATCCTTTAATTTTTGCAAAATAGTTCTCAGTAATGAGAATTAAAACAAGGTAGATGGATGGAATGCATTCTAGTGGATTTTATTCCGCTAGTCGTAACCGACTATAGAGGGTGATGTCATCTCCGTTGTCCGAGGACATTTCCATGGTGATATGATCAACATGATGTCATGGAGTACTGTTACCTTCCCACCAAAGATGGATATAGAGTGCATTTAAGGAATTATTATTTTAAAAATTTTGGTTGGTAAAACAGCGCAGTCTAGATGCCACCATTGATACAGAGATAATAAAGAGTGGTATTCAAAAATTGGGCAATGGGTTGGACTATAAGACCTCCAGAGTCCCTTCCAGCTCTATGATTCTATGAAATTATTGTATTGACTGGATTAGTTTTAATTTGTGACATCTGAAAATTGGGAGAGTCTAAGACAGGGGTGTCAAACTGCCGGCCCACAGGCCGGATGCGTCATCCAGAAGCCACGCCTACCCCATTGTTGGCAATGGCAAAACTGTCCCGATATGTTGTGCAACGTCACGTGACGTCGCGAGTTTGACATGTCTGGTCTAAGAGATAGGTAAATATAGACCAGTCTTTAATCTTTTGTGATTAAGGTGGTTTGAGAGGTGGTGGCTTCTTGGCTATAAAATCCAGCAATTTTGTTATTTTAATCCTAACCCTAACCCCAATTAAAATTATTTCTGTTATTGCTATACTATATTTTTTATTAACAGGTGTCAAATAAATTACAATTTTTAATAATATTATCTAGGCTACATTAAGTTAAATCAATAAAAATAATGGAATAAAATGATAAAGAATATTCCAGTATTTTCCTCCTCGTTAAATCTTCTCTATATCAGCTCTAATTTCATAAAATGAAATGTATACAATGAAAGCAGATATTCTGTCTGAAAATTACCTTGAGTTTGGAATATTACATAAAATTAAAGTTTCAACAGAAGATTTTATATTACTGCAATTTGCCAACTCTTTTCAATGCTAATAAATAAACCCTTTAAGTCATATTTATGAATTGGGTAGGCTTCTATTTTCTTTATAATTAATAAATGGCAAATGTAACTGTTGTGTAGCTGAAAAATCTAGCAGTCATTTTTTTTATAAAACCAGTCCATATCCTACAATCAAAAGGTGAAATTAATTTTTTGACCAGAAAATTGTTTATTTTGATTTGTTATAACATGTGAAACTTGTTTAAATTGTTTTCTTCATATTTGAGGAGCTACTTGCCCAGTCATAACCAAGTTTTCATATGTCTTTTGGACTGGCAATCTAAGTCTTAGGTATTTCTATCAGATAAAACATCAGAAAAATGAGATAATTCTGCAGGACACAAATTAACTTGACACTTTTCACATTGGCTTCAAAGTGGGCTACGTAAGCCAAAGATTGCCTTCGTTGGCCTGATGAGTGATCTCTGTCTGATAGTTAAGAAAATAAATTTAGTTCTTTTTAAGTTTTCAGTGATTTTTGATAACCATCAACTATGATATCTATCCATTTGAATCTTTCTGGACATTTGGAAATAGGAGCACTGCTTTAAATTGCTCTATTCACACAATCTCTCAGTAACATTTTTATGTTAGACACTAATACTGTTTTGCAATTATTAATTGGCCGTATGAGAGCAAGTAAACTAAAACTAAATTCAAATAAGAGTAGAACTAATTGTAGAGGTGGCAGTTGATGTATCTCTCTGTTATAGAGCCAATTTGATCGAGTGATTAAGACACCAAGCTAGAAACCAGGAAACTGCTCTTATCCTATCTTAGGTATGAAAGCCAGCAGGGTGATTTTGAGCCATTCTCTCTCAGTCCGATTCATTCATAGGGTTGTTATTGTGGGAAAAAATAGTAGGAGGAAGGAGATTTGGGTATATTCATCACCTTAAGTTATTTGTAAAAATAATAAAGGCTGGCTGAAAAAAACCCTAAATAAATTATAGATAGACTTGTTTTCAGAAACTAGTATTTAGTTTGAGAATGTTCCTCTGATTTTTTTAAATTGAAGCCAGAATCATCATCTTTCACCTTTGGTCAATACCTTCACTTTTAGAAGGAAATAACCTAAAGTGATGTAGATATAAAATTGCCTCTGTAGGTTTCAAATCACACAAAATTCTGGAAGAATTGAAAGAGACAATGCTACACCTGTCCTAAAAACATCATACTGGCTACCAGTTTGTTTTCAAATGGGATATAATTTGCTGGTTGTTCTCTTTGAAATGTTATTTGGCTTGGACTCAGATTTCCTGAGAAAATGCCTTTGTCCCCAAGAAGTTTCTGTCCTCACCACAATTACTGAATTCAT